CTGCACCACTGAGCTACATCCTCAGCCCCACACATTTGATTTTTGACAAAGGTGCCAAGTATACAGAATGAGGAAAGAATAGTCTCTTCAATAAATGGTGCTGGGAAAAGGACATCCACATGCAGAAGAATAAAATTAGCTGGATGTGGTGACACACGCCTATAATTCCTGTTCTCTGGGAAGTGGAGGCAGGAAGGTCGAAAGTTCAAGCCCAGCTTGGGTAACTTAGCAACTTCATGAAGCTCTGTCTTCAAACTAAAAAAAAAAAAAAAGAAAAAGGGTATGTAGCTCCATGTAAAGGCCCTTGCTTCAGTCTCCAGTACTGCCAAAAAACCCCAAAACAAAACAAAACAAAAAACTTTCCTCGCTCGCTATATGCAAAAATCAACTCAAAATGGATTAAAGACTTAAGTGTAAGACCTGGGGGCTGGGGATGTAGCTTAGCGGCACAGCGCCTGCCTGGCAAGCGCAAGGTCATGAGTTCGATTCCTGGTACCGGAAAAAAAAACAAAAAAAAATCAAAGTGTAAGACCTGGCACTGTCAAGCTGCTAGAAGACAGGGGAAGGCTTCATAACTATTACGTGGCTTGAAATGATTTCCAGCACTTACAGTTTGCAAAGCAGTCTATTTCACTTGGGAGTATGTCCTTCCCTCTCTCCCTCCCCCCCTCTGTCCAACACCTGGTCAGATCCCAGGTGTGGGCACCTGGGGGGTGACTGCATGATCAGACCCCTCCCCATGGGGATATTGTAGCACACCTTATCTGACCCCATATGGCAGTTACAGACACAACTGCTGACATCAACACACATGTGTGAGCTCAAGGCCAGCCTGAACTACATAGTGAGACCCTGTCTCAGAAAAAAACAAAACAAAAAAACCCAAAAAATATGAACTCAAGTCTGACACTTTGAGTTTCGGCTGTGGCAGGACTGCACCTTGCCAGCCATTTGTCTGAACCCCCACCCCTTTACAAGAGGATGAGATGGAGCGAATCCAAGCTCCTGCGGGCGGGCAGTGCAGACTACTGCTGCCCTCCACTGTGTCTCTGTGCGTCTCTGCTGGGCTCCGGCCAGCATCTCCCGAGAACGGCCTACGTGAGCACACACCCAACACTTCAACTACTTTCCAGTCAGGCCTCTAACACTCTACGCAGCAGCTGGACTTGTGGAACTTTGGATTCACTTACTTACATATTTATTTATTGCCTTTTTGAGACAGGGTTTCACTATGCAGCTCAGGCTGGCCTTGTGCTCACTTTGTAGGCTAGGTGGGCCTCAAACTCACAGTGTTCCTCCTGCCTCAGCCTCCCGAGTGCTGGGATTATAGTCATGCACCACCATGCCTGGCTCTCCAGCATTTTTTGATGCAGGGTCTCACTATATAGTCCAGGCTGGCCTCAAACTTGTGATGCTCCTCCTGCCTCAGCCTCTCAAGTGTGGAGATTACAGGCATGCACCACCACACCTTGTTCATATTGTAAACTTTTACAGGTGTACTATTTAAGACTCACTTTGTCAGTTTATGAATGAATCCAACTTATGAACAATTCTCCTGGAACAGAATTAATTTGTAAGTTGGGGACTTATTGTATTGGCTATGTTATTCTGTATCATGTATCAACACCCACTCAAAATTGAGAAAAACATGGGTGCAAAATAGGATTTGTTAACATTTGTTTATGCAAAATATTCTCAATGTAACATTAAATGACAATTTAAAGAATTAGGCCAACAAACACTGGATTATTTTCCATTGTCCTAATGACTAATAATGAGAGGCCAAGGAAACATTTTCTGCATGAGTTGTCACAGAATCAGATTTTTGTTTTGTTTTGTTTTGAGATAGGCTAGCCTTGAACTCAAAATCCTCCTGCCTCAGCCTCCTATGTGCTGGGAATGCGGGTGTGTGCCACCACCCTTGTTTTGAAATGAAATACAAACAATTTATATTTTGGGTTGCGTCCCCAGAAAAAGATACACAAGACAACATGCACATATATAAAAATCAAGAACATTTCTCTACACCAGTAACAATCACAAACACCGAAATATTCCAACAGCCACAGAAAATAACAGTGATTTTATTGAGGATGCATTCCCAGGATTTTGCCTTGAGCAGTGGTGATGATCACATTCACAGTGATCTCACTCAAGGGTCCCTTAGTGCCCCTCTTTGGGCTCATAGCAGTTGTGATCTCATGTGCCCCAGACGCTTCCTCTGCAGATGGGGCCAGACCTCAGACTGTCCTCGCCACCACTCTCCGGCCACCGCTCCCAGACGAACAGCCTCCTCTTCCATTACCCGCAGCTAATGCATCTGAACCACAAATGGGCGCCCACTTCTTTCCTAGATAGCCCAGCTCCATCTCCATAAACTGCGGCAGACAGGCTGGAGTCCCAAGGGCAGCCAGTATTTTCTCTCCAGGTAATTCTAAAGCACACCGCGTGCGTGTATGCGCGCGCTAATGGACTTTCTATGGCAGGGACAATGTATCTGCAGATGTTCTTTCCAGCCACACCCCGTGGGGACTGAACCAGTGATTCTTTTTGAAGGCCGTGAGAGCGCTGTGTCCATGTAAGGGACGCGGGGTTCCTTCATCATCTAGCCAGTACTTTACCCATAAGTACAATAAACTGGTACTTTTTAGAACTACCATATCTCAGATTCAGGAAAATTTTCAATTTTCTTAAATACTTTCATGTTTATATACCAATCTCTAAGACTTGAAAGAAAAGAAAAATAACTAAATTTAAGTTACACGCGGGCTAGAGGTGCGGCCAGGGGTAGAATGTTTGCCTAGCACACATAGGACCTGGGTTTGGGCCCCAGGACAAAAAAAAAAGTGACAAGTTAACTAATGAGGTTTACTACTATGAAAAAATAGGCAAGTGTTGTGATACCAGAGCTGAAAAATAACATAAAATAAAGCAACACATTTCAGGGAGAAAATAAGAGCAGCGCAGCAGAAGACTCCGCCTGAGGCCGTGGGCAGTTCAGGGGGGCCTGGGCTCAAATCACGGGAAAGTTCATTCAGAGCGCGCTGGGGGCCTCTTCAGCAGGGTGTGGGCCTGTCAGCAAGCTTTCTCTGCTGTTGCAGTTTTGGGGGTGTTCTTGTTTATCTGTTTGGAGACAGGGTCTCACTATGTAGCCCAGGCTGGCACTGGACTCTCCATCTGCCCGCCTTAGTCTTGCAAGTACTGGATTATAGGAATGCCCCACCACAGCTGGTTCAAATTGTTTATTTTTTAAATTTAAATTTAAATTTTGGTTTTGTTTTGACACAGCATTTCGCTGTTCCTGGCTGGCCTTGAACTCACTATGTAGCCCAGGCTGGCCTCAAACTCATAGCGATCCCCTTGTCTCAGCCTCCCGAGTGCTGGGATTACAGGCAGGCACAGCATTAGGTTTAAATCCTGGGAGGAAAGGCCAATGTCAGAACCACCTCCAGCACCAGGAACCCCTGGCGGCAGAAGTCAGTGTTTGGCCTCCTTTGCATGCTACTGATTCCTGCTGCTCTGAGGCTGGAAACACGCTGCAGCATATGCTCACTGCTCCGCACAGCACACCTGGCCCTCGTCTTAGAGCTAAGATGAGCGACAGTGCTGACCCTAATACGGCATTAACACTGCTTTGGACAAGGGACACAAAGCCTCGGAGAAACCGTAAAACACAAGTCACAGGGCATCAGTGTGGCTCTGCCCTAGGAGCTCCGCCCTTAGATGCAACTCCAGGGTCACAAACACGAAAGCGACCGCTTTCTGAGCCATCTCACAGAGACACTGAGTGCTGCCACCGGCCAGCATGCCGCAGCCCAGGGAAGAACGGCAGAGCCCCGACCACAGTGCTTCCCCTGTGACACTTCGAGACTCCCCGGAGTCCATGGTGCAGCCCGACCTGCTCCTCAGTCTCACGGGGACCAGGGATCAGGCCGCACCATCCATGCGGCGAGGACAGCTGGGGGTGTCCTGGTTCCGCGCAGCAAGGTCTCCACAGCCTTTGGAAGAAGGGGCAGGGTCCTGGCTGTGAGAAAGAGAGTCCCTGGAGACCTCGGAGCTGGGCGGGCCACCATCCCGCACAATGAGCACCTGGGTGGCTGTGAAAGTTAAAGGAATGAAGCCTTCGCTGTCAGCAGAGAGCAGGATCCAGTGAGAGTCTGCCAAGAAAAAAAACCATGCGGCTAATTTAGGGAATCAACACTATAAAGAAAAGAAGACTACAAAAAGAAAAACAGCCCAAACCGCAGCACTTGAGAGGCTGAGGCAAGAGCATCAAGTTAGAGGCAGCCTACGCGACCCGTAAGCTCAAGCCTGCTCCGGCTACCTGGCAAGATCACGTCTCAAAACGCCAAAGCAAACCAAACCCACGAAAAATAGCACAAGGAAAATGCCATGCATGGTGCTATGACCCTGAACCCCCTGCACTCTGGGAGGCTGAGGCAGGAGCATAAAAGGTTCAAACCCAGCCTGTGCCATTTAAGAGACTTAGGAAGACCCTGTCTCAAAATTTTAAAAAAGATCCTGGGTTCAATCCCCAGTACTACAAAAATAAAAAAAGTGGCAGCAGAAGAAACAGATGACTGAAAATGTTTTTTACTATAATATTGAACCTCCTCATCATAAGATTTTACAGAGAACAGGAGATAAAAGAATGGATTGTTACTTCGGGTAAGGTCAAGTGGGTGTGGTAGTGCACAGCTGTAATCCCAGAACCCCAGAGTCTGGGGCAGGAGGATCACAGAGTTCGCTGCCAGCCCAGGCTACATAGTGAGTTCGAGGCCAGCCAGGACTACATAGCAAGACTCGGTCTCAAAAAACAAAACAAGGCTGGGGATTCAGCTCAGCAGCACAGCGCCTGCCTGGCAAGTGCAAGGTTGTGAGTTTGATTCCCCATACCGGAAAAAAAAAAACAAAAAACAAAAACAAAAACAAAAACAAAAACAAAACAAAACAAGCCTGGCATGGTGGCACGTATCTGTAATCCCTGCACTCAGGAGGTGGAGGCAGGAGGATTTCTGTGAGTTCGAGGCCAGCCTGGGCTGCAAAGTGAGTTCAAGGCCAGCCTGAACTATATATCCCCTGTCTCAAAAAGAACAACAAATGAACAAACCAAAACAAAACACAAAACTTAGGGTAAAGTTAGATGATCATCTAGTCAGTCACTTTAGTACAGCTAAAGGACACGGGCCAGGCATTTATACGCCATGCTATACATATAAGCTGTGTGTGTGCACACAGGTGTGCTTCTGTGTGCACATTAAGGGTGGTGTCAAAGTTCCCACCTTGCCTACAGTATGTTCATCAGTTTCTCCAGAAGCAGTATTAGTTGGGAACAATATTTTGCAGAACATTCCTCATTCTATAGATCTGTAGTAACCTGAAGATACCCTTCCAGAGAGGAAGAGCTGACAAGAGCAGACTACAGGGGTCCAGGAAATCCCAAACCATTTGTTCTAGGTTGACTTAGGAGCCACTAGTGTAACATGATCTCCACCCTTTCTGGATCCTTTAAGTCTGTGTCTCACCTTTTGACCTGTGATTTCACTTCTGAAAATCTGCACTCCCCAAAATAACAAAAATATGCAGAGAAGTTTTTCTTAGAGTTATTTATAGTGGTGAAAAACTGAAAACCCCCTAAATGTGACAAAGAAAATGTAGCAAAGTAAAATACCACACACCTCTGAAAAGACTATTAACCCATTCATTTAAAGTGGCAATTATAAACCAGGCATGGTAGCGCACACTTGTAATTCAGCCCTGGGGAGGCTGAGGCAGGAGGATCGCCATAGGTTCAGGGCCAGCCTGGACCACATAGTGAGACCCCATCTCAAAACAAACAAAAAGATGAAATGACAGTTACAAAGCCATATCATAAATGTAGTTGTCAATACAGAAAAGGCTGTTACAATGTCTCTTTCCTCTTCACTTAGAAGTTTCAGCCTTTGCCTGGTCAGGGGCAGTGGAAGGGTCCCAGCTGCCAGGAAGCAGAGACAGGGGAGATACAGAGTAGCTTCCCGGCAGTGCTCCTGGAGACCTGACCTTCCACAGAGGCTCCGCCTCCTAATGCCACATTTAGCCACCACGCCCCCATCGATCAATCCTGAGGCACACAGGGGACATCCAGATATAAAGTGTCCCAAATGGTAAATGGGAAAAATAAAATACTTTATGTTCAAAGGGGGGGCCACTCTTACAAGAATGAGGCCTAAGGAAACAAACACGTTCCGTGTCTGATGCATGCAGTCACCACGCGGTCCCTGGCCATGCAGGCGTGTCCCTCCTGTCCCCATGCTGGCTTCACTTGAGAGTGGCAGCTCCCTGAAGGATATTCTGCAGTGCTGCTGCTTAATCTTTCAGAACAGGCATGGGGCGGGTGTGTGTGTGTGTGTGTGTGTGTGTGTGTGTGTGTGTGTGTGTGCTGTGACTTCCTTAACACTGTTGTTTCCTGCTCTGTAACTCTTGTCTTTTCGTGTGCACATTTCATTATTTTGTCTACACTCTAATCCTCAGAGAACAGAGCCTGTACTTTCCGTGTGTTTTGCAACTGCTAACTGGCCTGGGCAAAGCACAGGCAATCAGTAATACATGCCAACTACCTGGTGAATCATTGGTTTCCGGCAAACCACTGAATGTTTGGTATAGATTAGTATTTTTCCTTTTTTTCTGGCAATGCTGGGGTGTGAACCCAGGGCCTCCACACTGAGCTACAGCCCCAACCCTTTTCTACTGTTTATTTTGAGGCAAGGTCTCACTAAGTTACCAAGATCTTGAAGCTGGGCTTGAGCTTGCCATCCAGACTCAGCCTCAGAGCGCTGGGATTACGGGCACTCACACCACACCTGGCTGAGAGGCCTCATTTCCTGACAAGTGGAAGTAGAGAAATGGGGGAAGGACGGGGTGTTCTGAATTCAACCTACCGTGCAGCATTTCAACGAGAGAGAGACCAAACATCTGCTGAATCACACCGAGCCTCAGTTTGCCACTGCAGAGAAGCACCGCTCTTTTTTCAACAGGACCCACATAGCTAGGTTTCTTCAAGTAAAACAGAAGTTGTTAAACTGATCACAAAAACAGTGGAGTTAACATTTTTTTTTTTCATTGGGGGGGTTAATTTTTTGAGACAGGTTCTTGCTTTGTAGTTCAGGCTGGCCTTGAACTCCCAAAGATACTCCTGCCTCAGCCTCACAAGTGCTAGGATTATAGGCACTGCTACCATATCAGCTCTTTGGTTATTTCAAAAATCTACACTCTTGAGTTACTAAAATAATAGTTTTAAGAAAACACTAATACTTCTTCTTTTTTTTTTTTTTTTCAAGGCAGGGTTTTGCTTTGTAGTCCAGGGTGGCTTTGACCTCACCATGTAGCTCAGGCTGGCCTCAAACTTACAGTGCTCCACTTGCCTTAGCCTTTTTTTGTTTTTTTTGTTTTTGCTTTTCCTCCAGTACCAGGAACCAAACTCATGACCCTGCACTTGCCAGGCAGGCGCTTTGCCGCTGAGCTAAATCCCCAGCCCCCACCTTAGCCTTTTGACTGCTGGGATTACAGCTTGCTATAAATGTCTTTTAGAACTGATATATAAATCCATGATAATCAAGTCAATATGGTACTGATAACATTTTAGATAGAGATCAGCATGACAGTAGTTATAGTATCAAGTATCTAGAATTACATTCCAATATACATATTTACATATGACAAATATGGTAAAATAAATTTAGTGGGATAAAGGTGGATTTTTTTTTTTTTTTTCTGAGACAGGGTCTCACTATGTATCCCAGGCTGGCCTTGAATTTGTGGCAATCTTCTTGCTTCAGCCTCCCAAATGCTGGGACTATAGGCCTGCACTACTATGCCTGGCAAAGATAGATTTTTAATAATGTTGCTAGCACAACTGATTATCTCTTAGAAAATAGAAGTGGATCATATACAAAAATGAAACTAAAGATTCAAAAATTTGTATGTAAACCGGGAGCACTATAATCCCAGCACTGAGGGATAAGGCAAGAGGATCATAAATTTGAGTCCCACCCAGGCAACTAAGCAAGACTCTGCCTCAAAAATTAAAGGGGCTAGGATGTAGCTTGGTGGTAGAGTGCCCATGAATTTAATTCCTAGTACCACAATGCCCCACTTAAAAACAAAGAGCTTAAATGCAAAAACTAAAATATTCTGAAGAAAATCAAGAGATCGTATGTCTTAACTTCTATACTATCTGAAAAACTCAGATAAACTGATAACCTAAGAGAGAAAAATCAACATAGGCAATTCACATTCAACTGGCTGAGAAGCATGACAATATACTCAGATTCACTAAAAGTGAAATGATATCTCATGCTGACCGTATTGGTGATACATGATGAAAAGGACAATCTTATATTTTTCTGGTGGTGTGTGATAATGCACTGTTTAAAACATCCTTGAAAGGCCATACAGACTTCCTTTTTTGTCTTTTTTTGAGACTGGGTCTCGCTATGCAGTTCAGGCCGTTCTTGAGCTCATTTTGTAGTCCAGGCTGGTCTCAAACTCACAACAATCCTCCTGCCTCAGCCTCCCGAGTGCTGGTATTACAGGCTTGAGCCACCACGCCCGGCTCTACAGACTTCCATCAAAACTATAAACATACATATTCTTCAAATGTGCACTTCCTCTTCCAGAAACTAATCCAACAGAAATAAAGGTCCTAGCTGGGTATGGTGGCGCACACCTGTAATCCTAGCACTTGGTAGGCTGAAGCAGGAGGATCACTGCAAGTTCAAGGCCAGCCTAGGCTACAAAATGGGTTCAAGGTCAGCCTGAACTACATAGTGAAATCCCATCTCAAAAGACAAAAAAGATAAAAGAAAAGAAAAAAAAAAAGAAAGGTCCTAATCCAAATGGATACATACACTATTTCAGCACTACCTAGAGGGGTCAATAACTGAAAACACAGTGAGTGGTGATTTTTATTGTATTGTATTGGACTTTTTCGTGAGTACTGGGAATTGAACTCAGGACCTCACACTTGCCAGCCAGGTGCTGTGCCACTGAGCTATATCACCAGCCCTGGTGAGTGGCAATTTACAAGAGACTAGCTGAATAAACAGCACATCCTCAACATGAAGCAGTGCACCCTGTGAGTCTGTTTTGTAGAACAATGACAAACCACCTCACACATACCTATGGTATATATTTATGTAGACAAACATCTGTGTTAGACCATATGGGTATGGAGAAAAATACAGAAGGATCCACTCAGCTGCTGGTTAAAGTGGGTTATGGGAAGGATGGGGTATGGCCACATTCAATGGGAAATCAAGTATCTATGATAAAAACACATATGATATGAACCCATTTAAATAATGTATCCTTGCTAGGCACAGTGGTGCATGCCTGTAATCCCAGTACTCAGAAGGCTGTGGCAGAAGGATTGCCATGAGTTCAAGGACAGCCTGGGCTACATAGTGAAACCCTGTCTAAAAATAGAGAGAAGAAGAAAGAAAGAAAGAAAGAAAGAAAGAAAGAAAGAAAGAAAGAAAGAAAGAAAGAAAGAAAGAAAAAGAAAGAGAAAGAAAGAAAGAAAAAAGAGAAAGGGAAAAAGAACCAACTCTTGCATATGCATAAACAGATACATATAAAACATTTAAAATGAACCCAACTTTCCTATAGCTGGCTTTTTTTGGCGGGGGTACCGGAAATCGAACTCAGGACATTGCACTTGCCAGGCAGACACTGTGCCACTGAAGTATATCCCAGCTCCTATATCTGAAAGCATATCTCCACTGTATAAGGAAAAGGTTTATACAATGCAACTGAAAATATACTTCTTACTGGCTGGGCACTGTGGTGCATGCCCGGAATCCCAGCTACTTAAGAAGAAAAGGCAGGAAGATGGAAAGTTTCTAGGACTGAAAGGTCAGCCTGGGGAACTTACCAAGACCCTGTCTGAAAACAGAATTAAAAAGTAGGGTATATTGCTCAGTGGTAGAACACTTACTTATCATAGGTGAGGCAGGCCCTGGATTCAATCCCCAGTATCAAAATATAAATATGTATTTTTTTCTAAATGTAAATTGCCAGAGTGAGTGAATGGTCATTTTTTTCCACACTAAGTGCATGGTAAAGTCAGGGTGTACACCAGTGTGTGCCCATCTGGTTGGTAGGTAAAGAGCCAGCCAATCTGCACAGGTGTATCAACTTGCCTGTAACCTAACATTCCCAGGTCAGTGAAGTACAGCACCCCTTCCTCCTCAATACACTTCCTGCAGTGCCCACCAAACGCAGGAGCTTTTATACACAGTTGTAGCTCCTTAAAGAAGTTACTTGACAGCTAGACATGGTAGCATACACCTGTAATCCCAGCACTTGGAAGGCTGAGGCAGGAGGATCACCACAAGTTTGAGTCCAGCCTGGGCTACAAAGTGAGTTCAAGGCCAGCCTGAACTGCATAGTGAGACCCTGTCTCAAAAAAAAAAAAAAGGGCTGGGGGTTTAGCTCAGCGGCAAAGCGCCTGCCTGGCAAGCGCAAGGTCGTGCGTTCAATTCCCGGTACCGGGGAAAAACCAAAAAAAAAAAAAAAAGTTACCTGGTAAATGATGTGAACATAAGGGGGATCCTTAGAGGAGGGATATACTGGAGACAATTTCTTCCTATTGTATAGAAAATCCCTGAGTTCAAAAAGACATTGCTGTATTTCAGTCACGTTCCTAGATAAAATTTCCAGGTCCTTAGTTAGTTGGCTAGTTTCCTTCCCCAATTTCTCTCTTTGAGGAACATTTGGAGGTTCTGGCATGCTGGTGAGTCTGGGCAGTACTCCCTGGGCCCAGGAAGCCCTATGCAGTGTTTCCAGGGCAATGGAACCATCCAGGATACTGGAAGGGGGACTTTTAATTTCTTCAATAAGAGTTTTCCCAGGCTTTGTACCCGGACTATTGGTGTTTGCTGTTAACAAGAGCTCTCTGTTTTGATGACAATAAACTGGGGAAAGACTTTCAATTAACTTTTTTCCATTTGCTTTGTTTAACAGACCATTGAAAGTGGCATCAGCACTCTGGGTTTCATTAGATGTTACCGAGGATTCTTCTTCCCACATGACTTCTCTAACAACCAAGCGAATGACATACTGGTCAGACTCTGATGAAGGAAGAAATGCCGCATCAGTGGACTTTTGTTTTCCTACCAAAATTAGTAATAGTTTGTCTGTCATGAAACTTATGCCTTTTGGTCTTTCGTCAGTCTCTAAATGAATCTGCTGGACATTTGGCATTGAAGACGAAGTGACAGAATAGATCAAAATTATATTACAAGTATTAGAAGCCACTGCCACTACCTGTGTTTTGAGATTAAATGCTATCAGATCAGGAACTAGAATGCCTGGAATAATGACTTTTCTGGCCGTGGTAACCTCTTTCCCAAAGGTCACAAGGACCAAATGAGAGGAATCCTGGCCCGTTCCTGTCAAGTAGTCCTTTTTTCTTAGACAAATAAGAGCACTTCCCTCAGACCAGGGTCGGCTGAAATGTAAATGAGTCAGATCCAGAAGATCTGAAAAGGAAGGAGAAGCTGGTACTTCAGAATCTGTTTCAGAAGCAGCTGCCTCCTCATCCACAGAGGACCTCTCACTACCAGCTGGAGAAATGTGCAGACCAGCGTATTCACCATTAGTTGGGACATCAACGGTGTCAGATGCATTTAAGCTACAAATCTTAGCTAGTGGAAGCTCCGTGGTGACAGCAACCTCTGAGCCCACAGTGGCCCTGATGGAGCAGACACGGCTGTCCACATTGAAGAGGGGGCAGGAGGAGCACCTGTGAAGTGTCTTCTGAGCACTGGCCCAGACGTAAGACTGAAGGCAGCTGCCTACTGCTAGCACGAGCCTCTGGCCGTCCCGGGTCCAACATGCACAGTGAATGCGGCCTTGGGTGCCGATGTCCACCCTCACCCGGGAGCTGTCACAGTGAACACTGGGGAAGACGGAGGCATCATGTGCAGTCAGCACAGTTAGGACAGTGTTTTTCGGGTGCCACACACAGCCCTGGGGAAGGACAGGGAGAGACTCTCTAATCTCGGTGGTCTGAGACATCAGCCATTTGCTTGACCCTGTAGTGGTGGGACACAGCTGCCACACGGTTACACGGTCCTTATGCTGGACAGCAAGCAGAGCGGGCATGCCAGCTGGGTCAGGAGGGGCCCAGGAGACGCCCCAGACGTGTTCAAACTGACCAAGGATTCTGGAGTCCCCAAGCTTGACCTCTCCACTGTGAAGCTGTAACTCAGTCAGGACAACTTGATTTCCATTGGTCCAGGCAAGCCCGTGGGTGGGGTGTAAGGCTTCATGCAATGCGTTCAGTCCAGTCCTGAGCAATCTCCCTTTTCCTAACTCCATCCTTTCTGACAACAGTGATCTGAAATGATTAAGAAAAAAAGCTGCACCATGAAAAATATCATCAGACAAATCTAGAATACTGGCCATATTAACAGTTAAACCATTCACAGGTCAATACTGTGGCATACACCTGTCATACACAGGTCAATACTGTGGGATACACCTGTAATCCCAGCACTTGGAAGGCTGAGGCAGGAGGATCACCACAAGTTT